GGGTGGAGGGAATCTGGAATATCAGGAACACTTGGGGAGATTTTGCATAACACACATTCCTGCCACTATCCCTCACTGTGACCAAGGATACGGAAGAGGCAGATATTTTCTGCAGGGCCCCAAAGGTGGGGGTAAAGGGAAAGGGCAGGGGTGGAAAAGACCAGGCCTAGGCCTTAGTCAAAAGAGCTCTGGTGGTGCAATGGTTAAGTGCTCAGCTGCTAACCTAAAGGTCAGTTGTTTGAATCCACCAGCTGCTCCATGGGAGGAAAGACCCAGCGGTCTGCTCTCATAAAGATTATAGCCTAGGAAACCCTATGGGGCAGTTCTACTCTGTCCTATAGGGTTGCTATGAGTCAGAATCAACTCCACGGCATACAGCAATAGGCCTTAGTCAGCAGAGGAACATGGGATATGGATGAGGTTCTTTAAGAGCTATAACCAAAAACAAACCCCTTGCCTTTTAGTTGATTCCAGCTCATAGCACCCCTAACAGGACAGGGTAGAACTGCCCTATAAGGTTTCCAAGGCTGAAATCTTTACAGAAGCAGACTGCCACAACTTTCTCCTGCGTAGCAGCTGGTGAGTTTCAACCGCAAACCTTTCTGCTAGCAGCCAAATGCTTAACCACTAAGCCACCAGAGCTGTAGGTGACTGATAACTCTCCCATGCTGGCCTTGTTCCAGAGTTTTAGCAACAGAAAACAGAAAATAATGCTAGGTTGGAGGTCAGGAGATCTTGGCCTGATATCAATGCTGTAATTTACTGGTTTTGTGACTTTAGACAAATCCCTTAACCCCTCTGAGCCTCGGTTGCTTCACCTGTAAAATGAAGGGATTAGATTTAATGGTTGTTAAGGTCTCTTTCCAGCTCTGAAAGTATTGGTCTATGATGCTATAAAGTGATATGTTTCTCCCCGAGCCTGGCTCAGTACTTCCTGCATTACATCTGTAAGATCAGGGACACACTGCCGTCACTTTGTTTGTGGAATGTTAGGGTCAAGGTGACCTGGGGCCTTCTAATCCATCTGCCAAGCCTCCATGCCAGAGCCATCCTGATCACTTAATAGAGCTTTCCCCAAAGTGGAACACTGCTACCATGGAAATAAAATGAAGATTTTAAATTAAAAAGTTGGGGTTCCATGGCCAGATAAGTTTTAAGAATTTTCTTTTTTTACAGGAATTCTCAGAGCCTTTAACACACCAGTTATGTATTGTGGATCTCTTAAGATGGGGAATATACAGTATTTCCCAAACTAATTTGATCATGGAACCCTTTTTTTGAGGGGCATCTCACCAAATTAGTGTTCATAGAGTACCCCCAGAAAAAAGTCTGACTATACTGGCATACCTCTCTTTCTTTAAAAACAACACCTCAAAGTTTAGATGGCCCTTGCTCACATTTTTCTAAATTACTGACCTGCGGACAGTGCCAGTGAGTCTCTGATAACTGCTGTTGCATTCAAGACACAGGAAAAAAACTGCCAGAGCCCCCTCCCTAGAGTACATACTTCCCCAGGATGTGCCAAGGCTCTGCACTCTGGGCTGGGCTGGGCTGGGCTGGGGCAAAAGGTGGGCTTGGGAGATAGGAATTGACTGTGTCTTCTTTGGGCAGGAAAGGCTGGGTTGCACACAGTTGGACTTCAGATAGTTTTTATACCGCCTTCTCTGTGCCCATGCCCACCCTGCCCCCAGCTGCCCATCATCACTCTACCCTCTTTCTCCTTCCTCCTTCTTTTGGGTTCCTTCCATCACCCTCCTGTTCTAAGCAGATAGGCTCTCCTCCCTCCTCCCCCATCCCAATCTCCACTACTCTTCACGCCCCCTCTCCCCTCCAGCCTGGCAGCCTGCCCTGTAGGAATGTTAATAAGCATTAACAATTTAATTAATTCAGTAGCTAATTAACAATTGGTGGCTGGGGGTGGGGAGCTGGGGTGCAGGGGGATTGGGGCTGGAGGTGGCAGGGAGAAACAGCGGAGGCTGCAGAAGGCATCGCAGATGGCTGTGCGGTGGCTGGCACGGTGCCCACTGCCACGGATGCAAACACATTCACGCGCATGCACACGTACATACACACATAAAAAGGAAAGGGTGATTGAAGAATAAAATAGAAAACAGAGAGAAGGGTATGGGGCCCTGGGAACTGAGGCTGGGGGTGGGGAAGGCTCTAGATCAGTTTGAATCTGCTCCGGAAGTGGAAGAGGAGAAAAAAAAGGAAACAACCACAGGCGCAGAGAGAAGAGAGCTCTCCCGATACCCCACCCCGCCCCCATCCCACCCCAGCCATCCCTCCTCCCTGGCATGGGATTCATGGGCACCAGCTGAGGACAGGGTCCCCTCTCTCTGCCTGCCATAAATATTGGCACCGAGGACCCAGACTCAGAAAGACAGGACATTTCCAAAGAAAATAGTTTTTCTTTTA